CTAGGTACCATATGATCCAGAAATTGCACTTCTTGGTATCTACCCAAAATAATTGAAATCATGTTCATACCAAAACCCGCACAGAGACGTTTATAGCAGATGTATTAATAATAGCCAAAATCCGGAAGCAACAGGATGACCTTCAGCAGATGAATGTATAAATGACTGTGGTACATCCAGACAATGGAATATATTTTCAGTGCTAAAAAGAAATGAGCTATCAAGCCATGAAAAGATGTGGGAGAAACTTAAATGCATGTTATTAAGTGAAAGAAGCCAGTCTGAAAAGGCTACATTCTATATGACTCCAACTATATAACATTCTGGAAAAGGGAAAACTATGGAAACAGTAAAAAGATCAGTGGTTGCCAGGGGTTAGGAGGGAGAGAGACATGAATAGGCAAAGCACAGGGGATTTTTTAGGGCAACAAAAATTATTCTGTATGGTCCTACAATGGAAACACAAACCATTCAAATTGCCAACCCATGTGTGAAGGCTATTGTCAGATATGTAAGGGTCCAAAGAGTACTGCATCCAGTTCCCTTCCTAGAAGAAAAATACGTACTTGAAGACATAATTCAGCAATAAAGAACTCAAGACAGGGGAGGGTATAGAATAGGACTGTCAGTGAGCACTGTTACACATAGACTTGGATCTTAGTAACTGTGGTTATGGTTTAAAGAAAAATGACTACACTTGTCCCAAACTGTAAGGAAGCTATCTGGGGTCTATGTAGCCATTGCTATGTATAGCTTCCATTCTGGATTCATTAATTTTTTGACCATAAAGAATTGGCCTGTCCAGGTGCAGTGACTTATGTAATCCCAGTGCTTTGGGAGGCCTAAGTGGGCGGATCTCTTGAGGTCAGGAGTTCAAGACCAGCCTGGCCAACATGGTGAAAAACCCTGTCTCTACTAAAAATAATAATAATAATACAAAAACTAGCCAGGCATGGTGGCGGGCACCTGTAGTCCCAGCTACTTGGGAGACTGAGGCAGGAGAATCACTTGAACCCAGGAAGTGGAGGTTGTGGTGAGCTGAGATTGTGTCACTGCACTCCAGCCTGGGCAATGAAGAGAGTCTCTATCTTGGAAAAAAAGAATTGATCTAAGCCATTCAGGTAATAACTTGATATAAAGGTGGTTGCATGAGCATGTCCATATGTAAAAATTTATTAAGCTGTATACTTAAGATTTATGCATTTTATTGCATGTAGGTTATACTATCACTAAATATAAATAAGCAAAATGAAAAAGAAAAAACTCACTTATATGAAAAGCCTTGGAACTCTCACCACTAGGAGGAAATATCATTAGATGGATGACTTTTTTAGGATCATTACTTGTCCACATGATGTCTTTGCATGAGTTGGAAAATGTCATTTCCTTCTCAAGATCCTTTACTTCTATCTCTTAAAAACTGTGGTAAGAAATATACAGGTCTTTGATGACTATGATTAAATAATGCCCCATTAGCTTTGTTGCAGTTGTGCAGTCCACAACGTACACAACCCTATGGTGTGGCTTTGCCTCCTGCCTGGCTCAATCCCTTCTCCCCCAGCCTCTGACTGCACCTAGAGTGGAAGCAGACTGTGACTGACCTGTTTTTCTTGCTTGGTTGGTAGAGCTCAACACTGGCCTATTCTTTATTTCCAAACTTAATTTCTGGAATAGTGCACTGGATTTCTCTGCATAAAGCAAGCTTGCCACAAGGTTTGCCCTAAAATTCCTTGCTACAATGGCCAGAAATGAGTGGATGACTCTCACCTCTCATGGAAAGGTGAGAAATTGGAAATCCCTTGTCATTTCCTAAGTCTGCCCCACACGTCCTAGAACCTGCTTGTGGGTAGGGGATGAGCCTCTTGCTTGACACAGCTGTCCCGGGTGTAATCAGGCACCCTAACATGAGAGGCAAACTCATAAGCACAGACTGCACAGGACCCTGGGCTCATTTCAGGAAGCCTCCTTATGAGGGATGGGAACACAGCCACTCCTGCTCCCGATAAACTGGCATGAAGCCACCTCCCCCAGGCCTGCCCTGGTGCCACCTGTCTCCACCTTCCTATTTCGTGTATCCCTCGAGGGCAGCCAATGTCTTTACTGTCTTTTTATTTTCCTGAATTAGTGACATGGATCCCAGGAATTTGAGGGCACCTTTATTCTCATGAGCTGTAAGCTTTTCTAGTCCCTGGATAGGTCTACCGTCCCATAATTCTGATCACAGAATTAATTAATTCATCAATTTTCTCCCAAGGAATAATGAGATCAACAAATTTTAACAGCTTTTTATTGTAAGGAGGTTAGTGGCCCTAGACTTTGTGTACACATTTCCGTAAAGGCAAATTTTACAAATTGTAATAAAATGTGTAAGAATGACAACATTCTTGTGCAAATTATTCTGCCCCATATTGCACAAATTTGGCCAATGTTGTTATTACAGAACATAGAGAGACTTTCCCATTATCCTCAAATGAGATCGTAGAGTTATGATTGACATTCATCATGGCCAATAATTGTAGCCCACCAAGATGTTATAAAAGGGGTCTGAGTATCTCTCCCCTTTGAAGGAAATGGTCAGTTGTGAGCAAAACCTTCTGTGTCCATCTGGCCCCACAAAAAACTATGGGGTTCGGTAGACCTGCCTAGACCTTACTTGAAAGAAAGGAAGGAAGGGAGGGAGAGGGAAGGAAGGAAGGAAGGAAGGAAGGAAGGAAGGAAGGAAGGAAGGAAGGAAGGAAGGCAGGCAAGTTTGTCTGTAGGTGGCCGTGCTAATATCTAAGTATTATCTAACTTTTGGGGTATCCAATAACTCATTTTTAGGCTCCTTGGTGACCTGAAATTTCCTCTTTTACTGCTGTCTTAAAACAGTGTTTCTCAACTGGGAGGGAGCTAGTAATGTTTGAAGACATTTTTGCTTGTCACAACCTGGGGAGGTAGAAGCTGCTGGCGTCTAGTGAGTAGAGGTCAGGGATGCAGTTCAATGTTTTGCAATGCACAGGAATTCCTTTCTTGCCTCCCTAACCCCAGGAATTATCCGGCCCAAATGTCAGCAGTGTTGAGGTTGAGAGACTCAGTTTTAAAAGAACCAGAATGAAGCCTAACTCAGAGAATTGGGGTCACCTCTGATAAAGACAAGCACCACAAACATGTTGGAAGGCTTCTCCTAACTCTCTGGGGCAGCCACTTGGTCCAGGCGGGTCCCCTTTTGCTCTCCCTCTTCCTCCGCACCTGACTGTGTGGCTCATAACAAAATCTCTCTTGTCCCAGCCTATGTATGGAGGCCTTTTCTCTTTGTTGCTTGTGGTCCGAAACCATAAGGGCATTCCGGCACCTTCCCACATCCCCACATGCCCACTCGAGGGTTGGCAGGCCTTGTGCCTTTGCAGATGGAAAGGCATTTGCGGCTTGGAGACCATTTGTGCTCCTCCTGTCTGTCCTGGCTGACCTATGAAGCTTTCTCTCAGTCTGGGCTCTTTGCCTCAGAAGCAAGCACCCCTGAGTTTAAACCACAATGCAAAGTCCTCCTCTTGCCCCTCCCACTGGCCAATCCCAACACATGGCCCTCAGGTCTGCAGGGCCCTTTGTCCCTGAGGCATAGGAGACACAGTGCCTGGGGCTCATGAGACTTCTAGGGGCCCACAAAAGTGTTTCAGTTTTATCTGCTGTTAAAATCAGCAGAAAAAATATAGATACAGTAACATATAATAATTGAATTATATTAGTCTTTTACCAACACAGCTGTAAAATGTAATTATAAATACATACTTTTTTATGGAAGAAGAAGCTCACAAAGGCAACAGTGCCCGGGAAAGTCACAATGGGGTACTGGGTTTCTGGAAGCACACAGTCTCAGGGTCAGGGAGGCATGAAAGCAGGTGAATCAGGGTTGCGGAAGCTGAAAGAAATCTGGCAGGGATCTCCCTTGCCCTTCCAGGAAAGATTTTAACTTTTTAAGAAATCATTTATCTATCAAGGCCTGCTGTTTTCACCAGGGAATCTCTTAGACTTACTTGAGTGAGTTGACATAACCCTGTATGACCTCGTTTTTCTGCCTGAGACATCCAGTATTGGATGGAGCCACCCCCACAGGTTGTAAATCAGGCTCAGAGAGCTTCCCAGGCTTCCCTCCAACTGCGAGGTGGATCCAGGGGCCTTCAACAGCTCAGGCTGGGCTAGTCTCTCCTTCAGGAACATGTGTCCCAGGGTTTGGCTTTTGTAGTGAGAATGCACTCCTTGGATGTTTGAGGATGATGATTTAATTTGTGTCATATCTGAGTACTGCCCTTAGATTTTAAGAATCTGGGCAAGCTTCCAAAGTGTACCCAGGGTATAAGCCATCTTCACCACACAGCCTCTCTTCTCTTTCCACACCAACTTGAAGCCAACTTGAGCAAAAGGAAAGGAAACAGTGCGTATAGCAAAGAAGAGCTATGAGGAATGTGAAACAGCCTCCGAAGGAACAGCACACAACATGAATGAATGGTGACTGTCTAGCACATCCACCGATGATATGCCAATTACAGTAGACACACCCATACTAACGCAGCACAGAAGACAGCAGATGAGTAAAAGAATGGCAAACAAATGAGGAAAAAGACAGAGAGCAGAAGTCACAGTAATGTCCAACGAAACAATATGACTGGACAAAGGATCCCTTGATAAGTGCTAAAGCATACACCTGCTTCAGCAGTCACCAACCTTTAGGCACCTATTAATCTACTGCTAGACTTTATAGGGAAAAACCTGCTAAAATGCAAGGAGAACTTGAAAGGAACATGGCATTATGGGAGATTTAGCAAGCCCATCTCACCAACTGATGAACGAACTAACTACACAAGCAAGAGTATGCAGCATCTGGATAATAAAGCAGGAGTAATAGGCTTATAAGTCCTGCATCCTACAAACAGAATACACCTCTTTTTCAAGTATTTATAATATGTTAAAAATGACCAGCTGGGTGCAGTGGCTCACACCTGCAATCCCATCACTTTTTTTTTTTGTCCCTAATACTTTATTGGTCACCTCTAGGCCTGTGTGCGGCTGGGTGGGCTCAGGGGAGGGCGTCACTATTCAGCTCCCAGGTGGAGGCATGAGAAGGCCTGGGCCTAGCCCTCCAGGGTTCCAGACTGTGGAGTCTGGAGGGGCAGGTCTGGCCTTTCCTGGGTCAGCACAGGGCACCCAGGTGGGGGCACAGGTGGGCACCCAGCACAGGCACTTAGGTAGGGGCTTGAGCTCACTATCCATTTGCCAACCTAATTGTGTTTGGAGAAATATTCCTTGCTGTCATCCATGTTGGGCTTAATCGTGTCACTGCCAGGCTTCCAGCCAGCAGGACAAACTTCCCCATGCTTGTCCGTGTACTGGAAGGCCTGAACCAATCGAAGAGCCTCATCCACGGAGCGTCCCACAGGCAAATCATTAACAGTGATCTGGCGAAGGACACCCTTGCAATCGATGACAAAGAGACCCCTGTAGGCAATGTCCTCATCTGTTTTCAGCACGCCATAATCCTCAGACAAGCATCTGGTCACATCAGCAAGCAGGGGGATGTTTAGGGGGCCCAAGCCTCCCTCCTTCCGGGAGGAGGGCTTGAGCCTGTAAGTTGGAGACCAGCCTGGGCAACATGGCAAAACCTCATCTCTATAAAAAGTTAGCTGGGTGTGGTGGCATGTGCCTGTAGTCCTAGATACCCGGGAGGCTGAGGTGGGAGGATCACCTGAGTCTGGGAGATCAAAGCTGCAGTGAACCACGATCACGCCACTGCACTCCGGCCTGGGTGACAGAGCAAGACCCTATCTCAAGAAAGAAGAAAGGAAAGAAGAAATGAAGGAAGGGAGGGAGAAAGGAGGGAGGGAGAGAGGGGAGAAATGAAGGAAGGAAGGAAGGAACGAAGGAAGGAAATAAGGAAGGAGGGAGGGAAGGAAGGAAGGAAAAAAGGAAAGGGGGGGAGGGAGAGTAAGAGGGAGGGAGGGAAAGGGAGGGGTGGAATATTCTCCAAAGCTCAGAGTACACTTTGGAAAACATCACATATTAGATGAATTCAGAGTGAAGATTAGGACCCAGTATGATGTGCTCTTTCCTCTACAACAATCCCCTTCTGGGGCCCTAGTTTTCTCCAACTACTGCTGAAAGATGGTAGGTGGTTTTTAAGGGACCCTTCCAGCTCAGCCCTTCTGGGACTCTAGGAAACAAAAAAGGAGACAACACAGCTCTCAATTTGCCTCTATTCTAGCTGGGAAGGTAAGTTTTGCAACTTGGAAGCACTCAGTGATGAGTCCACCTAGAGGGGAATATGCATCAGCATGGGCTGAGGTGTGAAACCTTCATCTGATCCTATCAGACAGATACGTATTGGGCATCACTGGTATGTATCGGCACTGGGCATGGGACAGGTGGGCATCAGGGCTATAGAGGGCATGTGACCAGCTATCTGCAGAGAGCTCTTAGCAGGGAGCGGGCACACTGCCCCAATATCTTTGTAAAACAAGACATACTATGTTGAGAGCCATATTGGAGCCTCAGAGGGTTGGAGGAAACAGGACCAGAGCTTTTGAGGACTAGGCTGGTACAAAGAGGGAAAGGCACTCCTGCTGAACGGGTGACATGGTCAAAGGCTTGAGGACTGAGCTGAGTGCATCACTGCCTGGGCAGGTCCTGAGCAGGGCTGGAGTTCACTGAGCACTCAGTGCTGGAAGGGCAGGTCTTCGGCCTTTCTTGCTTCTGGGGAGAACCACTGTCTCACAAGCAAATAGGTCTCAGCTTGCCTCCTGCTCACCTCCTCAAAGACATTTGTGAAGAATGGGATGTCTCTAACATCCCCACATTCTCCTCTTCTATCCAGCATCCTCACCATCCTCCCCAATCCACAGTGCTGTAGGGACTCAGAGGTGGGCCACCTCCTGCTCTTCCTGTCTTCTTGGCTGTTTTTGAGGAACTGAGACAGGCCCCTGTCTTCGCCATCAGACGGCTGTGTCCCAAGGGCAGGGACTGTGTCTCTGCTGTCTGGGGACCCTGAAGGGGCATGTGATCTGTATTCTCCCATGCTCTTTGGCATGGTTTCACACACAGCTCCCTGGCATTTTGGAGGAAAGGACTCAACACTGCAGCTCACAGATCAGGAAGGCTGGAACATTAGCTTCATAGAATGTTAGGATCCTCTAGCCCAGCATTTCCCAGCCGCCAGTCCACAGGCAGGCGTAGGGCCAGGGTACATTCTCACTGGTCTGCGCAGTTTTTCCTCCCCCACATTTCTTACTTCCTAAGCCTAAAAACTGAAACGTATCCAAGTGGCTCCCAGCCTCCATGGACAGATCCAGGGAGTCTGGCTGGGACTTCTGAGAGGCTGGGATGATGGTAGGGCATTGTCTCAGCGTTGAGCCCAAATCCTGTCCTCTTCCTCCAGCATGCTAAGGAGACTGCAGAATCCCTTCTGTCCTCCTCCCCTGCCTACAGCCCCCAGGACAAGTCAAGGCATGCCTCCTCTGCAGGGTTTTCATTAACTCTTTTATCTAACTGATGTAGTTTTTCTCCTTATCTGCCTGGCAAACTCCTATTCACCAGGCATAGTCTGTCCTTGGAATCTTTTCTTGACCAGTGTTCCTTCTCTAAGGCTCAATTGGTGACCCTGGTCTGTGATCCCATGGAACGCTACCCTCCTGTCTCACTGCACACACATTCACACACATACACCTCCATACCTTCTGCAATCGTCCAGGTCTATTTTCATTCTCTACCCCATCTTTCAGACTGTGAACTCCTTGAGGAAGGCAACCTAAGCTCCTCTATCACTATGTTCTTGGGGCCTGGCATGGAATCTAGCATCTGGCAGGTGCCCAGTAAATATTCATTGAACAAATGAGGGAGTGGATAGATGGACAGATGGATGTGTGGATGTGTGGATGGTAGATGGATGGATGCATGGGTGAATGGGTGGATGGAATGGTTGAAAGGGAGGCTGGACTTTACTACTGATACTCCAACATGAAGGTGGAAACAAGTGTTTCTGGCTAAGACTCATCAGCAGGTGTATGTACCCCTTTTTCTCTACCTCACGCTAGGTGAAAAGTGTATCCTGTAATCAAAGTGGAAAGATTTAAGGATCGTGTCCTTGTTATCCCTTCCTCCTTTCTCTCCATCAGTGGCCAGGGGACAATTCTGGATCCACTCCCTAGTCTCCCATATTCTAGAAGAGGCTGTGGCTCTTTCAATTACCATAGTCTCAATGTTCAATGACTAGAGTCTCAATATATCTATCTATGTGGGTGCAAAAGGCAAGGTGTATGGGGCATGAAGAGAAATGTCAGGCTATGCTCTTCTCCCAAGTTGATTTGAGGCTGCTGTCAGCCCTTCATCATCCCTTCCCGCCATCCAGTCCTCTGGTCAGTCATTTTATCTGCTGCAGACTTATCCCCAGAGGATGAACAGCCACTGTTAGAGGCTTGGGTGGATCACAAACATGAACAAACACTTATACGTATTCACACATTTATACACATCCACACTTATGCACACATGCTCACATACCTACACTCATATGCTCACGAGCAAGTGCACACACTCATGTACTCTTACACATGTACCCTGTATCTAATCAATTGGGGGTCAAATGGGGATCAAGGGTCAAATAGGGTCAGAATTTCAACAAATTCACTGTGCAATATTCCCTGGATCAGGAACACAGCAGGATGTCCACCTCTTATTTGAGTTGAGGCAGAACCACTGGAGAATCATGTGGCCTTTTTAGTGCAGTGACCCTGCCCCAGCTTAAGAAACCAGCAGTTCCCTCATCTGCTCCCTGAGTCTCCACAGAAATGGCAGAAACTGCTCCAGTGGAGGACATAGTGAGATTAACAAGCATCATGTTTTTGGGTTTTTTTATGGCTTTGTTGAGGTATAACTTACATGCCAACACTCATAATATCAATGTCATCAATGATTCTTAGCAAATTCAGAGTTGTGCAATCGCCACCACAATCCGGTTTTCGAGCATTTCCATCGCCCCATCCAGTTTCTCTGGTTGAAGAAGTTGGTGTCCCTGCCTGATTTACTGAGCATGTTCCTCACAGATCAGAAGATCTTGCTTTGGGGAAGGAAGGAGGTTCTTAGTCATTGCTACCTTGGCATGGGTGAATTTAATACACTGCTTTTCTAAGTTTCTTTAATTCATGAAGCAAACACATAGTACTCTTTCTACCATTGGTGGGACTGGTGAGAGGCTGATGCTCGCTGGGCTCCTTAGCCAGCAGCCAGGTCACGCACTGAAAAAGCCACATCATTCTCCAGGTGCTCTGCCTGAACTCAGGGAAGAGGTAGACATCCTGCTCCCTTCCCATAGGCTACACTAGGGAATGCCACACTTTGGAGCAAGATAGGCATTATGAGCCAATACCCAATGAGCCAAAGATTTATAGAGAATATAGTAGCTACACAGCAACCATAAAGCATTTCAGAAAGCATATACAGGGTTAACAGAGGTACAAAGGGACAAAGTACTGCAAAATTTAGAGGAGGGAGAGCCCTTTTCAGGACACAGATGGGATGATGGAGTGTCAAAGACCCTGATGCAGGGTTCAGGGAGTGGGGAAGGGGCCAGGAAGATTGCTGGGGGATGCCACGCCCACTGGGACATTGTGGGAAGGGAACTACGCTGAAGCTTCTCCTGGGAGCCCATTCTGAAAGACCTGCTGGACCAGACGTTTCAGGGGCTCAGATGCCCCTGGATAGTCTGGCTGGCCCTTATAGCCAGCAATTTCCACTCAAGAAGAGGCAGGACAGAAAGCTCACTCAAACCCAGGCCAAGACAGGATCTGCCTCCAGATGCTGTCATGGGGGAGGCATGGGCAGAGTCCCCTCAGAGGATGACCTGACAAGGCCACTGCCACGGCCCCGGAGCTGCCCCGGCCAAGTCAGTCAATCCTTACCTCCTCCTTCTTCCTTCAGTTCTCTCTCTCTTCCAGGACTTAGTTCCATCTCACTTTATTTTTTTCCTCCATCCTTTGCCCCCACCTCTGCTCTCATTTCCTCTTTCCACAGTGCAAGGGAATTTCAGCTAGAACAGCCCATAGTGTGTGGTGGGCCTGGGGGGGCATCCAGAGGTCGTTGGAGCTGGGAGGGCTGCAGGCAGGGGCTGAGCAATGTGTCACTGCCAGGGCTTGGCAAGGGCTGTGGCCCTGGGGGGTTGGGAACAAGGGAGTGCCTGGAAGGTGGGAGGTGGAGGGGGCAGAGCTGGGAGGCCTGAAGCTGCCAGAGTAGACCTGAGGTGGGGGTGGGGAGTACACTAGCTTAGAAGAGACCTTCTCGTTGGCCACTTCCTGTCCCAGCTCCCAGGGTCTTTTGCAGGGTCTCTTGGCTCTGGTTTGGGAGGTACCACCCCAGCCAAGAATTTCTCTTTCTTTCTTTCTTTTTTCACTAAATTAAATAATAAAGGGACTGTGTCTATCTCTATTTCCATGTAGCCAAGTCTGAGCCTTGGCTGATCCTGGAAGCCAACCAGGTACGTGGAAAGAGGAAAAAGCCACAGCCAAAGAAAATGAAGCGATGCCTTGAAGGCCAGATGGAGGCCGTGGGCAGGGATCTGCAGGAGGCCCTGGACTGAGGGGCTGAGGAAGGGGGTGCTGTCTGGCCTCAGACAGACAGGGGAGAGCAAGTCAAGGCTGGGTCTCCCACAGTGGGCTGCTGGAGGGTGGTCAGCCCAGGTTGGGGTCAGAACACAGGCATGGGTGTCCCACCAGGGTAGAGTTCCCTAAGGCTCCTTGAGGGTCCCACAGAGAGCAGGGAGGTCTCCAAGCCTGGTGAAGGATAGGAGGAAGGGGTGGTGGGCTGACCTGGTTGGAGAAGGGGGTCATTCAGCGCTTGAACCCATTCCCCAGCCTGGTAACCTTGGCTCTGTGCCTTCCAGCCCCAAGCTCACATTGGCTCACAGCCTCACTCCTCTCTTCTACCTCCCTGACTCCCATGCCCCCATGCCTGGCCAAGCCCCCCACTGAGAGGCATTAGGGCTGCACCCCAAGAAAGGAAATAGGGAGGTAGGGAGGAAGGAGCAGTGACCCTGCCCATGAACTATTCCTGAGAAGACACACACCCATTGCCTTGCTGAAGGCAGCTGTTACTCTTGTCCTCCCTCTTTCCATGCCTGCTGCTTCCAGCCTGGGTAGCAGCCCTGACAAAGGAAAACCCCCTAACCAAAATGCTGTGTGTGCTCTAGGCTCCTCAGACCTTCTCTCACACCCCAGCCAGAGTTACAGTTCTACCTACAAATACCACCCCTGCCTCACAGCACGACCCACCAATGTTCTCCTCAGCTCTCAGGATAGAGTCTAAGTTCCCAAGCATGGCCCAAAGGTTCTGCCAGATCCCCAATCGGTCCCTCCTGCATCTCCAACACCACTTCCCACACCCCACCTTGCCAGGGCTCTCATATCCACTTCACCCCACTGATAACTTCCCCAGGTTCTACACTCTCCCTGTCCCCTCGCCGCCTGCACCCTTTGCCGAGATAGTACCCACTGACATGCACCTGGTTAATGCCTCTCATCCCAGCACCAAGGACAGCGCCTGGCACAGAGCAGATGCCCACTAACAAAGATGAACTGGTGAGTCTTTCACACTCTGCCCTCCCTCCCTTCCCTCAGGCCTGGTTGGGCTTCTCATTCAATATTGCTCATGTTGTATTGAAATACCCTGGCCATTTATGTAGATGATAGGATTTTGGCATCTTCAACTGATGTATTTCTTCCTCCCAGTATTTATTTCCAGCCCATGGCTTTCTCCATCTAAGCTGGACTGTGAGGCATCGATGCCTCAGGGAAGGGCTGTTTCAGTAGAAAGCAATGAACCTCTTAGAGTTTGCAGCCTAGACCCTGCAGAGATAGAGAAAGTGATAGGATGCCCCAGCTGAGGACAAAGGAGAGAAAGGAAGACGGGAGGAGAGGAGTGGAGGCTGGTCAGAAAGACACTCCGCCTGGGGGAGCTGTATATCCAAAGGTGGAATTGGCATCCTGAAAGGCATGGTTCCTCCTCTCTCTGCACCATTCATTGCCAACACCAGGCAGCTGGTGGGAGCCCATTGGTGCAACTCCAAACTCCCTGATCTCCACTTGAGTGGGCCCCCTTGGAGGTCCTCCATGATATCTGAACAGCACCTGCTGCAGGCAGCAGCCAGAATGCTGCTGACTGACCATGAAGAGAAGAGCCTCTCCCTATGCTCCATGTCTACTTAATCCCCACCCAACTCACCCAGGGTGGACCCCCACCATCACTGTGATATCCCAGGGATGCGGGACTCTGAAGGGGAAGTGGGACACAGGAGGCTGTGGAAAGGAAAGTTCCCCACACCCATTTCACGCCTGATGGAACAGTGCCCGCTCAAGGTCCTCCTTCCTGCAGGCCAGCAGTGAAGACAGCACATCCACTTTTCTCATCGCTTTCCTACTAGGCCAGCAGCCTTGGGCCCACTGCATCCCCAGCTCTTAGCATGCTCCCTGGCACATAAGAGGTTCTCAATATATCTGAGGCAGACATTCTCCCCCTCTCCCTTACTAACAGAACCTCAGAGCTGTTCAAGGAAGCCATGAGATTCCTTAAAAATAGTCAGCTTTCTAGAATCCCTTGCAGCTAGGATGGCATTAAGACAGTGTTCTGGATAATAAAATACAAGTGAGACAATGAGAGAAAACGCCTAAGGACTGGGGCTCCTGGACAAGCATGGTAAAGGGACTAACTCAACTGAGATGTCCTTTTCAGCTTTTCTCCTTTGCCCTTCATACTTTGCCTTTCATCCATATTAGTGCTTGAAACATGGACATGAGGTTCAAGGTTCATGAGGTGCAGAAACCACCTTGCAATAATGATAAAAAATGTCATACCCTAAGGATAGCAAAGCAGAATGGTAGAGAAAGTGTGGGTCTCTAATAGCATTGTGGAGGCCAAACTATGCCATCCTTGGATTACTTCCTTTGAATTTGTTTGTGTCCGAAGTGTATCAGTTAGCAATTGCTTCAACAGTGCTGCATGACAAATCATCCCCAAAGTAAATGGTTTAAAATAACAATGACTTATTCCCACCCTTGCATCTGAGGATCAGCTGGTGTTGGCTCTAAGCTTCAGGCTCAATCTGTCTCTCATCCTCCTGAGACTAGCACTTACCCAGAGCATGTTCTTCCCATAATGGGAGTAGAATCATGAGAGGGCAAGCTTAACAGTGCAAGCACATTTCAAGTCCCTGCTTGCATCGCATCTGCTGGCATCCCATTTGCCAAAGCAAGTCACATAGACAAGCCCATGGAGTTGGGGGTTGTCTCCTACCTCTAACAGGAGGAACCAGAAATTCACATGGCAAAGAGCATGGATATGGAGAGGAACATAGAATTGTGGCCAGTAAGTAGGAAATGCAGGCTCAATAAACAAATGCTGGGTGACCATCATGTACCAGGAACTATTTTGTTATCTCATTTAACCTTTGCAACAACTGATATGAAGGATGTGAAGCAGGTTTTATGATATTTATTTTGAAGAGAAAAGAAAGCAATGGCTTAAAGAGGTTAAATATTTCATCTCTTGTGAATGGTAAGACTGGTACTCAATCCTGGTTCTGGCCACTCCAAGGCCTATCTCCATCTATTATATCATGTGTTCTAATTCCATTCCCCCCCACAGTCTTCTGGGAAAAAGCAGGTGTCTGACTTTGGAATCTACACTGAGTGGAACACTAGCTTAGTATCTTGTCTCTGAATATCTGGACTGCAGGCCAAGTCGATTCTAAGGTATGGGTGGAAGATGGGTAAAGAAAGGCTCTGAGAATTTAGACCACATCATTTGCAAGCAACAGAAACTTAGTCCGGCCAGTTTAAGCAGAGAAAGGTTATTCAGTGTCCCCCAGAATTGCATGAAAGAGTGGAAAGACAGGCTCAGAAAACAGATGAGAGTAAGGCTGAAAAGCCAGAGCACAGCCTGGGGTTCTGTTCCCTGGGCACCACAGCTGGCACTGCTGCTGCAGCTGCTGTCCTCCCTCACAGCTGAAGGCTGCTGCTGCTGAAGCTACCACCAGAAGAATTCTTCCCTGTCCTGGGTTTAGTTTAGAGTCCAGGCAGGGAGGCTCCAACACTGATCAGATGCCCCCATCCCAGTTGCATGGGACATTAGCATCCAGCTTCAGCATCTGTAGTGGGAGGGAGTGGGAGGTGGCTGAGCCTGTGCCTTTCCACAAGCTCAGCCAGCAATCAGCAGCTACCATGGTCAGCAAGTGTATGAAGGAAAGGGAGGCCTGCCCTCTGGATTCCAGGGCTGTGTGTACCCCTCTGGGGGTGTGAGCAGTGGTGAGGCAATGGGGTACAGA